TTCAAATATATCTTTTTTTTCAGTGTCCTCTTCTTCTAAGACTGCAGTTACACGCTTGACATTCCTTGGATATGCTTCCCTTTGTTCCAGTACATTATTGCTTAAGTGTTTTACTGATTCATATTTGGAAATATATTATTTAAGACTTTTGTCATTAACAATAAGAAAAAATTAATAATTTATGTTTGTTGTGATAGTGTTTAAAATAAAAATGAAGTTTATGACTATATCAGCATGTTAATTATGCATATTTTTGACAGCCACATAACTTAAAGAGAAAATGGTTGCAATAGATTTCTCACGGTGAATAAAATGTTTTGAATAATATACAGGAAAGCACTTTGTAACCACCCACATTCTATTTAAATGGACATGTCCGCTGAAATTGGTCTTATATCCTGTCCCTCCTCTCATGTAACTTACATGATAGCCACTGGATTTCTGGCCATTCTCAGAATATGCTGTGCCTTTTCAAATAGCTCTCCTCTCCACAGAGGATTCTGTGGCCTAGACAATCTTGGTTGGTGCACAAAACTGATCAAGTAAATGATACAACAAACCTAGCCTCTACTTCACATTTTCTCAAATTTTGGACTTTGGAAAACGTCAAAACCACCCAGGGCATCTCTTAAGGATGATGGCTCTAAGAGAAAGCACAATCTTTGATTTTTCCTAAAGAAGAGTTGCCTCCTTTTTAATCCATTCATTTTACTAATGTAACATTCAGTGAATTCTTACTATGTTCTCCAATAAGGGGGAAAATCATTCTTTTTGCTTTCCTCCTGTCCTCACATTAGCTACAAAACACAGTCTTCTGTTGATCTACCCTCTTGATCTACCCTGCCTTCTTACAGAAAGAGGATTGATTTAAGTGGTTAGTGAGACAGAGGCTTTCAGCCACATTAACCTCAGGATGCAGCCCTTATGTTAAAGGTAAGGAAGGTGTCACCATATCCCAACTCCTCTTCAGTTGCAAGGAAGCTTGAAGCTGACTGACACCCTTCCATGGGTTGGTTGGGTATCTCTGTAGGCTCTTCTATATCTTAATAGGTTAAGAAATATAGAAATAGAAATAGCCTATAGAAACAGAGAAATGTGATTAATCAGGGTTCTCTCCCAAACCCTCAGTATATTTGGAACAAAATATTCTACTAAAATGAATCAGAAGTGTGTCTTATGCTCAAAGAACTCACAGTTCTGTGGTGTTTCCACAGCAATTAACATATATATTATATACATTATAATTTAGCCCATGAATTATAATCTTTTGTTTAGTTTCTACCCTCTTCATCTAGACTGTAAGCAATGTTAGGAATGAAATCTTTCTCAACCATAGAACCTCAGCATCTAGCAAACTAGTAGGTAGTAGTAGGGGGTCATAAATTATTTACAGAGAAAGCAACTCTCATGGCATGTTTACTGTGAGTGACTTCAGATCGAGGCCATATGTTAAAGCACAATATCTATAACTTGAATTTGAAACTGTGAGTTGATTTCTAGCACAAAACTTTCAGTTCCCACATTCTCCAGTTCAGTACCAACTTCTTTTCTATAAAATGTCATGCTTCACTTGTCATTTTTACTTTCTGGGTGAGGTGGTGAATTCCTTCCTGTTTCTTCCTAAAATAGAACTTTCCAAATTAGTCTATTCTACAAATGTATCTTGGGTTCCTACCCCACTTACTCAGGGTAGGGAGAGATGGGTACATAAGGACTAAGTGGATTGAAAGAATTAAAGTGCATACATATTACACAAGAATCTTGCTAAACCCCAGATTCTTATTGAGTGTGTGAAGCCTGAAAAAGCACAAGTTCTACCAAACTCCCAGAGGTTCCCACGCCACTGATTTATTTGAGCAACAAGGAAGTAGATGATCTATTTCATAATAATTCATTCATTCAATACTAAAATTTCTTAAACAGTAAATTTAATTCTAAAATGTATCAGGCACTGAGCTATGAAACTAAAGAGGAATGTAACCCACAGTCTAGATAACAAACACAATAACAAACAAATGCTATGACTATCATGAGTTTAAGAAGACAAACTATAGATTGGGAGGAGATATTTGCAAAAGACATTTCCGATAAAGGGTTATTATCCAAACCACATAAAGAACTCTTAAAATTCAATAAGAAAATAAATAATTCAATTTAAAAATGGACAAAAATAATTCAAAAAAAAAGATGTCATGCAAGCATATGCAAAGAGGATTAACATAATATGTTATTAGGAAATCACAACAAAGAGATATCACTGAACACCTATTAGGATGGCAAAATTCCAAAACACTGACAATACCGAATGCTGGCTAGAATGTGAAGCAATAGGGACTTTCATTCATTGCTGGTGGGGATGCAAAACAGTAGAGTCCCTTTGGAAGCCCGTTTGGTATTTTCTTAACAAAATTGAACAGACTCTCACCAATGTGATGTAACAATCATCCTCCTTGTAAATTACCCAAATGAGTTGAAAGTGTGACCACACAAAATTAGAATGTTTACAGCAATCTCATAATTTAAAAAACTTGGGAAAAAACCAAGATGTCCCTCAGTAGGTATAGTGAAACAATTGAATATTATTCAACACTGAAGAGAAATGAGCTATTGAGCCATAGAAAGACATGGAGGAAACTTATATGCATGTTACTACATGAAAGAAGTCATTCCAAAAAAGGCCACATGGGATATGATTCCAGCTACATCACATTCTGGAAAAGGCAAAACTATGGATGCAATAAATAGATTACTAGTTACCAGGCATTAGAAGGAAAGGAGGGATGAATAGATGGAGCTCAGAAATTTTTTAGGGCAGTAAAATTATCATGCATGTCACTATAATTATGGGGATAGGCCATTATACATGTCAAAGCCCAAACAACTTCAACACCAAGAGTAAATGTTAAGGCTAACTAGAGACTTTGGTTGATAGTGATATCTCAGTATTTGTTCAGTTTTAACAAATATACCATGGCAGTGAAGCAGAGAAGGATATTAATGAGAAGGGAGTCTGTGTGTGTTGTGGGGTGGAGAAGGAGCAAATGAAAAAATCCCTGTGCTTTCTGCTTAGTTTTGATGAAACTAAAATTAGTCTTTAAGTCTCAGTCAGTCTCTCTTTTACTCTCATCCCTTCTGGTCTAGACAATCTTGGTTGGTGCACAAAACAATTCAAGTAAATGACATAACCAACCTAGCCTCTACTTCATATTTTCTCAAATCATGGACTTTGGAAAACATGTCAAAACTACCCAGGGCATATCTTAAGGATGAAGATCATACAGCCATGTCTTAGACCTCCCAAATCAGAATTTCTTAGTGTCAGGAGTTGGTGATCTGTAGGTTAACAAATTCTTCAGGCTGTTTGATGTGCATGAAATTTAAGAATCACTTCCATTTTGTATCTATACATTTTTGTTACAAAAATAAACATCAAATTGATTTCAAGTAAGTTTTAATAACTTTATTTTCTTATTCGGAACAATCAACAAGCTTAGAATTCACAGGAAATCATTAAATTATATACTATGTATAAATTAATGAAATAATCATGGAACAATACTAAAATAGATTTATTATATATATCTCTCTGATATTTTTTATTAAGAAGGAATAGAAGCATAAATGAATTATGATTTTGACAAGCATGGTACAAATATAAGAATAAATCATTGATAGAGATGAAGTCACTCCCAACATTATCTTTGATTGTAAGATGTATTAAGAATATTTTAAATGCAGTGATGGAAATATACTTGTTTTTAAATTGGAGGGAATTTATGAAAGAACCGTTCAACTCTGTGTTTTCATCTGATAAGAAGGCAGCTGCATGCATCCTCCCATGCTTCCGGTTTCTATTTTTAAGATCACAACTAGTCGCTATTCTTTTTCACATAAATTGCTCACAAATGTAGCTTGGTGAAAAGAACCTACCTAGAATTGGTTGCTTAAAATTCTAGATATGTAATGTTATCAAACTGGCTAAATAATGTTGACTCCAAAACCCAAATCCACAGAACTAAAATTAACATGAGCATTGTGTAAAAAAAGCTTCATCATAAAACCTCATGTTTGTCTTTGTGTGTGTTCTCTACTCACACTCCCACTGTCATAATTTTGTATGGATTATTTTATTTAATAACTCATTCTAGTATTCGGTGTTTCATCAGCAAACTAAAAATGGAAAGCCGATTTGATCAGTTTCTTTTGCACTATTTCCGTAAGTCACCTGCCTCTCTCTACAGTAAAACACACACATGCACGCACGCACACACACAGACCACATTCATTTGTTCAGCAGCTCACATGTTTGTTCAAGTGGATCCTAATGTTTGCCATCCACTTTGTACCAGGACTTCTGCATTATTTAGTAGCAGCACCCAAGAACACTAATCTCAACTGTTGAATCAAGTTGCAGGCTACTGCTTAAATAATTAGACTCAAGTATTCCAGAAATTCTAAAAATCTGAAATCTGAAATCCTCCTAATTGGCTGCAATCTCAGTATTTTTAACAAATGGTTGTCAAACTGTAATGCTTCAAAGCATATGATTTGCCCTGTTTCCTTCCTAAAAACAGCCAAGTTATAGATGTTAATGAAAGTATGTCGACCCCTACAGACCAACTTGTTATTCTAACCTTCCATTCCATTACTTATCCTTTTATTATTGTCAGGTCAAGAATGAGAGGGTTAAAAGTTCAGTCGGTACTTGCCTGATAATACCTGTTGTCATTGCTTTTTAGGTCTATTCAGATGCCCACGAGTATATTAAATCAGCAGCATTATGTCACATTCACATACCTGATACCACATGACCCAAACACCAAGTCACTGTCCTGCTCATAAAATACTATACATTGATTGCTCCATAAATACCTATATATTTGCTTCACAATCCAACAGGGTAGATTTAAGCGTTTGCTTGCCAGGCATAGAGAATATCTACCCCACATCCAGCTGGTATATTATATACCTGTATTGCACCTATTCTTTCCATTCTTTGCTTATGTCAAGTCTAAAATTTTATTTCTCCTTTATATGTAAGAAACAATAGCTTTAGATTGACAAATAAAAATTTCTAATTACAGAATATTGACTGGTAACACACAGTGACTATATTTATAGTTACTCAAATTAGCACATTCTTTCCTTTTCAAGAGTGTGTAGTGAATTGATCCAGATAATACAAACCTCTCTTCTCCACAAGTCTCTCTGATAGCCTCAAAGGAAATATTGAGTATATATATTGGGTAAAATATAGCTGAGTTTAAATGTTCTACTATTGTGCTATTAACAATATGAAACAGTTTTGGAGAGAAGATTTTGTTGTTCAAGGCTATAATATAAAATTCTCCCAAAGAAGTTATCAGGAGGAATTCTGATCATATGTTCTATGGACCATTAAGACACAAGCACCACCATAAACCACCTTGAAGTGAAATTTCCCAAGTTGATGAATATTTGGCAAATTCTTGGGGCCAGACGAGGTGACAGGCCCATCATTTGGCTGGTTGGTATCAGGACCGGCTTTGACTCCGCACACATACTGAAGCATATTCTGTTGGTGCTTCTTGCACTGGTCTTGCTTGTCTTAGGTTCATACCAATGATAGAATGATTCAGGGAAGCATAAACGATGCCCTGTTTGTTTTCATCCAGGGATGGGTTAGAATAAACTTCAGAGCCTTCTCTTATCCTGAACAAGGAGTCGTTATCGTAAATTTGAGTTTGGGATGGCAGAGTTTGGGAATTTTCTCTGATGCTCACGTCAGCTTGTTCACTCCTCAAGGGCTGAGAGACATCCACCTAAAAGAGAAAAAAAAAAAAAAAAAGGTGCACCACTGAATGATAATATGCCCTCATTAGCAAACTGTGAGCAAAAGGCTAAATGGTGTCATCTTCCTTAAGAGAAATAATCTACTTTTCCTCACATAGGCTGATAATATCTACACTTTTGGCAAATTCTTGGTTCTTAAGGGATAAATTTTGAGGACTATTATGTTCCTCCCAAGTGGTTATTTGGTGCTTTATTATGGGTCACTTTTGAAATCATAGAACACTTTCAATTCCATTCAACATAAAAGTTTAGCCCAAATTAATGGGAAAAACATAAACTGACTCATGAAAACTTCAGGTATTTCATAATCCAATGGGAAGTATTAATGTAGTATAGAATAAAAAGATTCATAAATAAAGCAGAATAGTGACCTCCTGATGGGGGCCAAAAGAATAAATATTATGAGATATCCAAGATAAATTATTATGATCTGAGACCTGGAGTTGGAAAATTGATGTCAGTTTTAGAGGGATAAAGTTTAGATAAAGTTCTGAAATATTATTCCAGTTGTTATTTCTATCACAAGAAAGTTCTTATACAATCAGTGCCACAAAGATCTCGCCCCATGATGTGGTGGAAAGAGTTGATAAAGACAGAAGCAGCAATCCCACTTACATACTTATGGCACATTATGGTTTATAATATGCTTTTAAAAATGCATATTGAGCTGGGCACAGTGGTGCATGCCTGTAATCCCAACAGCTTGGAAGTTCTGAAGCAGATCTCAAGTTCAAAGCCAGCACAGCAACTTAGTAAGGCCCTAAGCAACTTGGCAAGACCCTGTTTCAAAATAAAATATAAAAAGGGCTGGGGATGTGGTTCAGTGATTAAGTGCTTGGGGTTCAATTCCTGCTAATGCTACCCACCCCCCCCCCAAAAAAAAAATGTTAAAATGCACATACCATAGCATTCGACTTTTAAGTGTATAATCACTTTTATGCTAAGGACCATTTTGGAATAAATCCAGAATATCATCAGTTTTTTATATGTACTGATAAAGTCAAAATTGCTATAGAATGAACAAAGAGAAGGTAAAAATTCTTTCATACCTTAGAGGTTGTTGATACGGATAAGTTGCTGCACATTGCCACAAAATCTGAAAATTAAGTAATCTTTGGTACTTTGTAAATATCCAATGGGCCTTCAAAGAGTCCAGAGTTACTGGTCTTTCCTTGGTATGGCAATGGACTTGCAAACTTTGTAACTGCTCTGATTTGAGTCAATTCCCCTCACCAGGTTTGTTCAAGTTTTCACCTGCAAAGAATGCTGAACTATGTGTTCCCCCTTTTAAATTCAACTTCAAGTCATAATTAACACCAGCTTACACAGGAAAAAATATGACCACATTCTAATGAGTCTGGGTTTTCCTTGCATGGTATATTATTTAGATTATTATTTTAAATAGTTTCAGGCCTGACTATGACAGAATGCTGTATTTTTCTTGTTGTTTACTTAGAAATATAGGAAATAATATTTAAGAACCTTTCCCTATTTGAGAAAATAAAGCTTTAGCACCAAACATAGTGCCTACTAGTGCTTATTAAAAACTTAATACAAGTTTATCAAGGTGAATGCATTTGATTCTCCATAAAATTCAGCCATAAAAAAGAATGAAATTATCCAATTTGCAGGAAAATGCATGGAACTTGAGAACATTATGTTAAGCAAAATAAACCAAACTCATAATATCAAGATTATATGTTTTCTCTCGCATATGGAGGCTAGGGAGGAAAAAGGAAAAGAAAGGGGAGGGGAGGGGATCTCATGCACATGGAAGTGACATCAGTAGAATAGAGAAAAGGGACTAGGGGGAGGAAAAAGGGGCAGAGGAAACTAGGAAATAATATTGACCAAATGATATTGTTATATTGTTTTATCGTGCACAAGAACAAATGCATAATAATGAACCCCACCATTATGTGTAATTATAATGGAATAAAAATAGGGGGAAAATACAATAAAATTTGACAGCTTAGGTGGGAAATGTTGAATACTATTTAATATTACATGTAGAATTATTGGTTGTATCTGTCTCTGGCATTTCTGGAACTTTCAAGATGCTTACTGCTTATTTGTCTCTAATTTTCCTTACTGAAATACACACACACACACACACACACACACACATACACATCAAATACCTCATTTATGCCTATTTTAATTAAGGAGCTTCATTTTTTTCCCCCACAAATACATTACTTTATCTTGCATTCTCTCTTTCGTTCCAATATCTTCACAATTTTGGATCCAAAAGAAAGACCTAAATTTATTCTCCAAATCTTCCAGGAACAATTGCTTTCCAAAAGCCCTTTACTTTGTCTGGCTCTCTCTTCCTTTCCTTAATGAGCCCACACACCTGACCATGGACTTTGGCATAATCATTTAGCCTGGAATCATGCCTCTTTACCTACTGGTATGTTTATGAAAAAAATCTAGTTATTATAATGCAGTTATAATTTATTGTGATAATTAACCTAGAATTATGGTTATTTATGGGTTCATTTTTTCATTAACTCTCTACTCTCTTCCAGAAAGACTTCAAGGTGTTTTTGTAAGAATGAATGAAGAGCCCAAAGCCAGGTCTACATAATAGACCAGAGCTGAGCCAAAGTTATGTGGGTCCGTCTCTGACTTTCCTGTTTCTATTCTGGACTGCTTCCATATCAAAGAAACACTTATTATGAGACTTGTTATTCCCAAAGAGTCTTTGATGTATTGAAAAAAAAAGTGGGTGGCCCTTGGTGTTATGCAAACTTATTGAAAAAAGATGACATAATACAAGTCACATTTATCATAACAGATACATTAAACATACCAGGTTAATTTCCCTTCCTTCTATATCAGAAGGCTTCTTTTGTTTCCCTGGAAGATAAAAGTAAAAAAAAAAAAAAAAGATTAATCAAAAGGAGGAAAGAAAGCAGAGGTAAACCACCTCCCCCCACGCCCACCCTGTTGCATACTAGCAATGATGTCATATGTTTGGGCTTGTATATTCGCCTTGGCTAGCATGCTGTACAGGACCCAGTGGATGAGAATTCACATTACCCATTTCCCTTCCAGCCCTCCTGACACCACATGGCCTATGGCATATCCAAGAGAAAGGGGCAGGATCTAGCAACTTCACTTTGAAAAGGTTGGAAGCCCTTGCTCGGAGTATATCCCATATGCAATCCCAGAAATGCTCCTGTCCTGTCACCTGCATAGCCAGTATCTCCTGTTACTCAGTTCACTTTGATGTGGCAAATCAAAAGATTTGTCCCACACCTGTCTGTAATTCCAGCTACTCGGGAGTCTGATATAGGAGGATCACAAAGTCAGTCTGGAGAACCTAGTGAGACCTTGTCTCAAATAAAATTAAACATAGTAAATGGGCTGAGGATGTATCTCCCAGTAGAGTGACACCCTGGGTTCAATCCCCAATACTGCAAATAATAAAAATAAACTGATAAATGAATTTTTAAAAATTATGCCTTCCTCTTTTTTCTGAAGTTCTGAGAGAAGTTATAGTAGCCTCAAGAAAAATGATGGAATATACAGAGAGACAAGGAAAGATCTATGGAGTTGCAGATGCAAAGGTGGGATTACAGAAGATTCCTCAGAATTGTAAGAAGGTTCTGGGCTTCAGAATTCCTCACTGGAAGCACTTCAACCAGATAAATCTTTCTTTTGTGGCAATGGAATCAGGGGTGGTCTGTCTGGCTTAGTTTCTATACCTACACTATAGCTGATGTTGTAGGAAAATGAATGGGGAGACATGGAAGGAAAAGAAAAAAAAAAAGAGAAAACTGAGGTGACAAGATCAGAGTTAATCAGAATTCTCAATGCATTCCTCTCTTACTGGGTTTAAGTATTTGGTTTAAGTATTTGGTGGTTTAAGTATTTGGCCCTGACAGAATGTTTTCAAAAGTAGAAAGGAATTGTTCTCAAAACACCACACCTCTCCCATTTTCACCAAACCCACATTTTTCAAACACATTATTTTTGAGTGAGGACTGAGTGCAATCAGTTCAGTTGTGTGTTCTTGATGGCAATAGAAAGGACACACATATGAATTCCTGCCGAGGATAATGGTTCTTTAGACAAGACTGTGTGACTGGGATGATGCATTATAGGTGTAAAAAGATGAGACAAAACAACTCAACGCAGACTTGTTCACTGAGAAATTATTTCAACCCCACTTTCAACTCAAAGTTTAGAAGAATTCTTTCTCATATGAGCATAAGACTGATGCCAATAGAGAATGTCTCAGCAACATGGCCTTCTGGCCACAATCCTGGGCTGTGCACTTTTCTGTAATGCAGGTGCCTCACTATGACAAGAGGGAGCCCAAATGGACCCACTTGGCTTTTTGGTGAAAATATGAGGAGTCCCCCCAGGAACTCCTTCTCCAT